TTTTCAATTTCTTAAAAAAAAAAAAAAAAAAAGGACAGCAGCACATGGAATTCCATTTTCCCACCTATTCTCAAAAAACAAGGAAATTAGGCACGTGAAACAGCTGCCAAGAAAACAAATGGGCTAGAAAATTTTGCTCATCAAACAAGTCAAAATCAAGATAAAGAAATTCATTTTCCAAGTTAGGAAAATTTGGCATTTCAAATGGACACTAAATTCTTCACTTTTAATTCATATTCTGAACTTAATTCTTCATGTTAAACATGTTGCAAAATATATGGTTGAGTAATTCTAGAGCATCCAATATTAATCTGAATTGTCATATAAAAAAAAATCATGATACATGTACATTTTCCTTTACATTAAGTTTGTCTTTCACATGACATTCATCAAAATCATTGAATTCTACAACACCCTATCATATTGATGTCCACATTTTAACACGAAGAGGATGTAAAGGAAAATGTAAACATCCACGTGCGCATAGCTTAATTCTAAAACAAAATTGCAAGATAAGCAAAATAGATATAACATTTAAAAATAACTGATGTTAAATTGACGTGACAAAAAAAAAAAAATATTGGCAAGAGTTCTGTTTAAAGGCTCTATTAAGGGCCCGTTTGATTCTCATTATTGTAGAATAAGAATGAAAAATATAGTCGTTATTGGGCCCCACATAAGATATATAAATTCAAAATTGATGACTTGATGTGATAGATAATGGTCATATTCTTCATTTTTATGGATGAAAAATGAGAAACAAACGGATGCTAAACGTGTACACTTAATAATTTATTTGATTTGATTTTTATTTTTATTTTTATTGAGTTGTGGATAGAACCTATTGGAAGATCAATTTTAAGTATATTCATTAGACATCAATAATAGGCATACTATAAGTCTTTAAATTAAATAGCATTATTTTAAATAACTGCGTCCATTTTGATAAATTCAGCCCATGTTTGAGACGTATTTTTTCAAAACTTATTTCAATCACACATTTTTCAATAAAATAATATTATTCATAATAATAATTTTTTCTTACTTTTTAATCACATATTTTTTATTATATCACTATATAAAATATATTATTTTCTCAATAATATTCATCAAACAGTTAATCATACAACCTTAACTAGGACAAGGAAGGAAGACAAGAGTCATAAATGTGGGGAGGCTGCCAAAAGCCCAAAACCCACGTGAAAGTGTTTGTGTGGGGGTGGATTGGCGTTATCGAGAAGGAATCT